TGGATCTGAGGAGGAAATTCTTTCCTGTGAGGGTGGTGAGGCACTGGAATGGGTTGCCCAGGGAGGTTGTGAATGCTCCATCCCTGGCAGCGTTCAAGGCCAGGTTGGACGAGGCCTTGGCTGACATGGTTTGGTGTGAGGTGTCCCTGCCCATGGCAGGGGGGTTGGAACTTGATGATCTTAAGGTCCTTTCAACCCTAACTATTCTATGATTCATATTTGGGTGAGCCTACAGCTTAAAATAGTTTGGCCTCTATGTTGAGGATGTCCAATTTTGAGGCCGCTATGTCATTATTCTATAGAGAGCTCAAGTCGTTCAATGGGGTATTTAAACATTGATGCACTCCCACTCTAGGCATGAGTACAAGGAGCTGCTGAGTGGATGTGGGTATCTGTGTAACACTGTTGACTTTTACAGGAGAATGTGGGTGGAAGGGCGGAATTTTGTCGGATTACTTTTATTCTACCATCCAAATAGACTTTCAGTTCTCTGAGCAGCTCTGTGCTTGCTTTGAATACAGTCACAGCACTTCTGTTGGGGTGAAAGTTTGGTTGGTGTCTTTCCTCCCCTAATGCGAGCCTTGAATCCGGTATATGCGAAGAAAGGATTGAATAGGTACTTGAAATTCAGTTTGATTTATTGTCCTCATTTAGGGCCGTATTTTGATCTCGGGAGCTACATCTGAACGGTGTAATCAGTGTGACTAACTGCTTCTGTTTAACTGTTTCCAAAGCTGAGATTAAACATGAGCAATAGTTCATAGATACCTGGCTTCTGCAAAGTGCTGAAGCAAAAGCGTGATGGGAGCTGTGCGACTGCAGCAGCTTTGGCGGGCCTGCTTGGAAACAACAGGCTATTTCCATGCCTTGTGTTCCTGACCAGAAATGAAACCGTCTCTTTTCCCCCCTGTATCCAAATGATGCTATTTGTGATGCAGAGTCACAAGTTTGTAAATACCAGAGTTGTTTATAAACTCATCTGTCCCTTGTACTCAAATACAGTCTTTAATCATATGGCAGTTGCACGAGATTTTTGCCTGCCTTACGTTTCTCACACTGTGTAGTTATTTTATGTTTCTCATGCTGCAGAGGTGCTCATAAAGCACCTCTGGTCCTTTATGCCCAGCTAAGGAGGCTGTATCCCCCGCTCCTATCCACAGTGACCACAGCTGGGGTAAGAAACCCATTTACTAAGCATTTAGTTCTGCTGTGGTAGTGGTTTGTGCTTTGTAGTGCCAGAGATCTAGGTTTGCTCCACTGAAGATGCATGGAGGAGCTTGAGACGTGATACAAAGACATACTGGTGTCAGTAACGAGGGTGATGTCCTCACCCAGCGTGATGACGGCTGTGCTCTGGGATGAGAAGGGCAGTTTCTGTTCTGATGGAGACTGGTGGTGAGGAGCAGGTGTTTCTACCATGTGAGCCCAAAAGAACATATCTGTAGGGGTTTACAACACATTGTTTTGTATTTGAGTGAGGCTACAGCTTAAAGTAGTTTGGTCTCGATCTTAAGGATGTACAATTTTAATGGCAAGGATGCACAGACTTATTCTCCTTTCACTAAGAGGGGAATAAATTAGGAGCAGATCCTTCGAGTTTTGTGTTTGTGTGATGACTGTGGGGAAAATACATATATATTCAGATTACATTTGTGCACTGCACCAACCTGAGCACGTCTGGGGCTTTGACAGACCCACATACGTATCTGAAAGCAGAGTGGGCGCCAGCCTTGGTTAGAAGCAGAGGCTTCCTCTTGGTCACCCCTGTGTGCTTCCTTTGGGCAGGCAGCAGTGTGGGAATGGGTCAGGCAGCATGCTGGGCTCTGACCTGCGCCGCGGTGTCCCAGAAGAGGGGCCAGGGAAGCCCCCTTACAGGAGGGGCTGGGATGCTGTGGGGGTGTATGTGCAGCAGTGCGGGGCAGCGGGAGGGAGGCAGCCTTTCAGGGACCTGCTCCATGGCCTTGCAAGGAGGTGACCTCTTCTCAGTCAGCCGGTCCTGATGAGATGCTGCTTGTCCCCGGGCGTGTTAGGGGCTGGAGCTAAGGGGCACTTTTGGTTTAACAAAGCACTCTATCTAATAACCAGACGCAGTAGATAGGGTAATTTCGGTGCAGCGAGGCGTCCTGTCGCTGTTGTTACAGGATCCCTGTTATTTGGAAAGGCATTTTATGATTCTTCTGTGATGGTGTGCTCTGTCAGTGGAGGAAAGCGTTGGTTTCAGCGACTGAGCAAGATCCATCCTTGCATTTTGGAAGGAGTTAAAATGTTTTTTTCCTCGTTGCTTTAAGGCAGCTGTGTCTCGTTTAAAGCGCTAATCCAAAGCGGGTCTGACCTTTGGGTGCGTAAAGGCTGACGTGAAGATACGCTGCAGGGAGCAGAGCTCACCTGAGGAAAACTCAAGCTAGGAAATAGGAGGCGAGGCGTTCCACAGGGTCACCGGCGCTCCAGGCCGGAGCTCATCATGGAAGGTTACCCTGCGCATGCAAGTCGTTGTGCCGCTTTTGAGGCGCAGCAGCTCTTGCTTGGGTTTCTGCAGCACGATGTGCTCTGTGCTCCTGCATGTTTCTGTTCCTCCCCGTGGTCTTGCTCAGACTGGGCCAAATGCAGCGCAAGATCTTCTGCATGAGCCCAGTTCCTAGCTCAGTTCTTCTTGGAGCTGATAGGGAGGGCCAGGGATGCTTACAGCTTCTCCTTGGGCAAGGCAATACCGCTGACCCAGTTGACACTGGGATAGGGATTGATTTCCTGGGAGGGGAGTCCTTTGAGTCCTTTCAAAGAGGTGCCTCCAGTTACTTAACGGTCTGAGTACTGCAGCTATCACATGTCTCTGAAGAGAATTTAGCAGTGGCTTTCCTCACGGTCCTTTCCTGGCCTTGCTGACCCAGTTGTGAGTCCCCAAGAGGCTCTTCCCTGCGATGCTCTAAGAGGTCACTAGAGCATCCCTCGTGCTGCTCGTGCAACAAAGCCGCAGCTGTTTCCTGGCCTCTGGGACCCTGTGTCCCTGCAGATGGAGAGGCAGCATTGGCCTCAGTGGATGCTATTTAGTATTTTCTTGTTAGGAGCAATTGTTTAACAGATTACGAGCTGTCTTCAAGCGGCCCCCTGTCAGGGACGTCAGTGCAATTGAATGTAAATGATAACAATGAGAACAGCCCTTGTACCTCGGGTTATCTGTCAGAATAAACTAGGCAGGGGAGCTGTAAGCGGAAGTCTTTATTTTCTGCTGCGTCTTGCCGGCGTTCACACTGGCAAAACACCATTGTTGGAGACATCCTTGCTGAAGAAATACAGGTGTGTTCTCCACGTAGGCACCCAACTACTGTTGTGTCCTTGTTTTGCCTTCAAAGAGATCTGGGAAGAGGAGTGAGTAACTGGAGAGACATTCCTGTTTGCCTCCAAAGAACTGGTTTTGCAGGTGCTGGGGCTCCGACTCCATGGGATGTTGGGAAGTTTGGAAACCATCAGTGCAGATTGTCTCTCCCTTTGCAGCAAAAGCGGGAGCAGAGGAACTGATCTTCCTGAGCCTGGGGACCTAATAGGCAAGCTGACAGAGGCTGGTGGGTTGGAAACCTCTTTCCTGGCCTGGAATGCAGGGCACCTTTTTGGCAACGTGGAGCTGGAACAGCAAGCCCAAAGATGAGTCAGGCTGGCGGTGTTGGCTCCTGGGAATGGGCCAGGTTGGACACAGGGGCTTGCAGCAAGCTGCTCTAGTGGAAGGTGTCCTGCCCGTGGCAGTGGGCTGGGAGTGGATGAGCCTTAAGGTCCTTTCCAACCCAAAGCAGTCTGATTCTATGAGCTCTTCAAGGAGCTCTTGAGGCAGTGGAGAGAAGGGAAAGTTCTCTTTTGAGACGGGGAGATGGTGAGAAGAAACGTGTGCCTGAAATAGCGCAGTTTGGGTCGGCCCTGACCTCACGTTTGTATTTGCATGCTTTCTTGTCTGTTTTTTTTGTACTTCCTGATGCCAATGTAAAAATATCCCAACCAGCACGGTGCAAGGCAGTGTTTGTAACTGCCACTCAAAAGCACTCGCTTTAGCAGTGAGAAATGGCTGGGCTTACTTATTCACAGGAAGGGGTAAAAGGCACGTACTGCTTTTGGCACGCAGTGCGTCAACCTAGCAAAACCCGCAGTATTTCAGAGAGGCCGTGGCAATCAAAGCAGTGAAAACATCCCAAAGTTACACTCCTGGTGTATAGTGTTCTAAAGAGTGCGTAAAGATACACTCAATCATGCTGATGGGATTGCGCAATGGGTTTAGATAGCTACCGGAATGTTTTGCTTAAACCCACTTGAAGCTTGCAGCGGGACAAAGGGTTTTGAAAGGAGAAGTTAAAATAAGCAAAGCTCCTTGCAATGACCAAGTAAAATGCCGTGTTTGTGTCTCTTGGTTGCAGGAAGCTTTAACGATGGCTGTGTTGGAGCACTTGGGGGTAGCTCCTAGAAAGTAAAGGCTTTCCATGACTCGATCTCATGCAGCCTCGTAGCTTTTCTTTCAAAGCCAATGGGGTCTTTGCAGCTGTGAAAGGAGCCACCGTCTCCTCCTGCTTACCAGCGCCCGAGCAGCAGCACTGCTGTCTGTTTTGGCACAGGTCTGGTTAGTTCACAGGAGCCAAAGCAGCAGAGAAAAGCAGGCTCTGGGTCCCACAGTGGGTACGTCCATGCTTTGAATGAGACAGCAATCAGACGTTCAAACTGAGTGTCGTGGTGGGTCAGCGCTTGGGGCACAGAGGGGAACAGCGTGGTGCATCTGTCCTCGGTTGGGGTGAATTTTACCTGCTTAGCAGTCCTCGGTTTCGTTTGTACAAACCCATCCTCTTGAGCTTTGCGCGAGTAATTAATACACTTAAACCAGGGAATAATCCTGTTGGATGCGGTGGGAATAGCATGTGGGAGAAACTGTTCAGGGCCTGAAGCTATGGGGAATGGGCTCTGAAATGAGTAGTTCCTCTAATGCAGCCATAGCCTTGTCTAATGTCTCACTGCTGTGCTCTCTCAAACAGACACCAATTTTGTCTTGGGCAATGCCCAGATAGTGGATTGGCCCATCGTCTACAGCAATGATGGATTTTGCAAGCTGTCGGGATACCACAGAGCAGAAGTTATGCAAAAAAGCAGCACCTGCAGGTATTTGAGAAGAGATTTATTTGCTGGTGAATATCTTGCAGCGTTGGGCTTGTTGCTCGAGGAGAAAAGTAATCTGCTTATTCCAGTCTTGTCTTTTATGTCCTGGGGCTGCATCTGTCAAATACGCTTTCCAGGTGAAACAAAACCAAAGAAGGGCTATTTCTGCACAGGTTCTTTTCACGCTGTGAAGTGTCTTTGTCTGCTGTCTGACTTGAGTCTCCTGCTTCATTTGCAGTTTTATGTACGGAGAGCTGACAGACAAGGACACAATTGACAAGGTCCGGCAAACCTTTGAGAACTATGAGATGAACTCCTTTGAAATCCTCATGTACAAGAAGAACAGTAAGTACTCGATTGGTTTGTTCGTTAACATCGCTGTGTAAAGTTGTTGTAAATGAGAGCGTCGACTGCAAGGGCAGGTCTGTCAGCCTGCAGGACCCTGCTTTGTCTAGAGCTAAGTATGCCCCAGTTGTACCAGTTGATCTGGTAGAGACGAGAGAGGAATGAGAGCATTAGGGGTGAAAGTCACTCAGGGAGGCAGACGAAGCCGTCTTGATTTGTTCTGAGGTTTAGTGCAGTTTGTGCGAGATGCTTTAAGACAGCACTCAAGACTCCGTCAGCAGTGATAACGCACAAGCTTCGTTTCCCTTACAGGCAACGCGCTTCTTCAGTGTTTTAAAGTTTGATGTAGCATAGCTAGCATTTAGGTACAGTTTTGGAATAAAAAGAGCCCATCTTTTGTTGTAGAAGCTGCACAACTTCTGATGTTTTCAGATGAAACTCTCTCTTCTTGTGGACTAAAAAATTCCTTCACTGGGATATGATTTGTTTCCTGTGAATTTCACTCTGTAACTGCACGTGTCAGCAGATGAAAGAGATACTGAGGGACATTGAGGTGCTGGAGCGGGGCCAGAGAAGGGCACCGGAGCTGGTGCAGGGCCTGGAGCACAAGTGTGATGGGGAACGGCTGAAGGACCTGGGGTAAGGGCTGGACTGGATGAGCTTAAAGGGCTTTTCCAACCTGGTTGATTGTATGAACTAACTGCCCAAATCTTGTTGCCCCATCTAGTGTGCACTGTGTCATGGCACAGTTATTTTCATCTACTTAATGTCACCTGAAGTGTAAATACACTGAAGTCTTCAGCCTGACTGAATGTTAGGTTGAAAGGGTGTATTCTGTAGCTTAGTTTGCCCTTAATTTTGCCTTCTAATCATGGACCGGTAGTGTCGGAGTCCAGGGGAGGATGTCTTGCAGAAGCATCCAGCTAGCAGCTCCTTCCCATTGCAGCTGTGATGACCGATTTGATCAGTTCTGCATTTGTGGGCATGGGGAGCTTTAACCACAAACCATAACATAAAGTGCTATGATACAGTATGTGACAGTCAACCTTGTTGCTGTTTTGCTGCCTGTTAGGCCAGTTTTCTGCAGAAAGGTTTTCCAGCCTATGATGTGGGAAGCATGGGTATTTGTGTTGAATGACCAGCAAGTACTGATGGAGTGTGAGGGAACCACAGCCCCTTCACAAAACCTGGAAGATAATACTCACGTGTGCTATTGCTGATGTGCGGATCTGTGCTTCATCTCTCTTCTAGTCTTTTTATTCTCCTTTTAGCCTCAAAGCCTCATGGCCTCTGACACAGTGCCAATGCTTAGGGCTCTTCTGGAGCACAGCGCTGCTGGTCCACCTCATTTGAAAAGCTCTGTTTGCAATGGGAATGGCCTTACTTTGTGCTTCTTCCCTTCTCCTGTTACCTGCCTTGAGGGTTTACCTGTTTCTTAAAGCTGGTTTCTGTTGCTGGCTCGGTTCGTGGCCGTGGGGACCACGTGCAGCTCACATCTATGCATCCAAAGCCAAGTCAATAAGCTGCGGGCAGGAGATCTAGCAGGGTCTGGAACTCTCTCTTAGGTACCAGTGATTTGGCACCGAGAGGCCATGCAGCTACTCTTGTGTCATTGCTGCAGCATATGGCCTGCGGTCCAGCCCGGGGCCTCTCCGTCTTCCATGCAGAGTTAAAGCAAGGTAACTGTGGAGTGAGGAATGTTCCCTGCCCTGCTGTGCACCTCCCTGAGGAGAGGTGGCCCGGAGCAGAGTCCATCTGTGCTGTGTGACAGGCCCAAAAGCAGTGCTGCCATGGTTCTGCTGTGTGCACAGAGGGTCACGGGCATGGGAAGCGAAAGCAAGCTCTGTGCTTTCCCAGGTTTAACAAAACACCGTGCTCTTCGTGGTTGTTGTTGGATGGGGAGCTTTGGAGGCACGTTAACTACCGTTACAGAGCCCGGTCCCACCGGAGCTGCACCAAAAAGGGCTGCATCAAAGCTTTCTCTCAGCATCAGGCACATCACAGAGAGCCACCGTCGTGTTTATCCCTCTGGGATGTGGTCTTGCCTTTGTGAGCACCTTACGTGTGCCTGCAGCTGCGGCAGTATGGGCAAGGAACATGGTTCATTTTAACCTGCCCTCCCTTTGAAGGGTTTGGAAGGGACATCTTTTTTCCTGCTCTTTGTTTCTGATTTTTCCGTCTCTCTGTTCTTCCCTCGCTTTATTTTTCTTCTTCAGATTGGTCACCATATTAGACAGGAAGTAGGTTTTTGTTGTTCTTTACCTGTCCATTTAGCAGCCATGCTAAATAGCAGGTTTTTCTGTCATTGTTCTGTTGTTCAAGAGGTACGTTCTCCACAGCCTGACTTCTTGGGGTACTTCTGGCTCTTTAACAGCACAGTCTCTGTCCTTTCGGCCAGAAAAAAGGAAAACAAAGCAGGAGTTTCAAGTTACCTATGATTTTGCTAGGGCAGGTCAATCTTCATCTGGTATCTTCATGAGCAGCAGTCATCTCTCTCTCCGAGTGACGAGTATGGCCTGATTTTACTCTAGGCGTGTCAACAATAGATCAAGATATTTAATAGTGCTACTAGAAGTGATGGGCTGCTTTGTTTTGACACAGCACTCTGCATGGTGGTGACTCAGTGCTAGTGTTTGTTTGATTGTTTGTTGGAGCCCGAGTGTGATGGGGAACGGCTGAGGGACCTGGGGGGTTCAGGCTGGAGAAGAGAAGGCTCAGGGGGGACCTGGTGGCTCCCTACAAGTGCCTGCCAGGAGGATGGAGCCAGGAGGGGCTGGGCTCTGCTCCCAGGGAACAAGGGATGGGACAAGAGGAAACGGCCTCAAGCTGCCCCAGGGCAGGTTTAGATGGAGCTGAGGAACAATTCCTGTCCCAGAGGGTGCTCAGGCATTGGAACAGGCTGCCCAGGGCAGGGCTGCAGTCACCGGCCCTGCAAGCGTTCACACACGGTGGAGACGAGGCCTCAGTGGTGCACTGGTGGCCTTGGCAGGGCTGGGCATGGTTGGACTGGGTGAGCTTAAAGGGCTTTTCCAACCTGGTTGAGTCAATGATTCTGTAAGAATACCCCATCCAGATGTTGCTAGGTACCGTAAATCCAAGGGCTTCATTGCAGTTCGTAGCATCAGCTCCAGAAACAGCAGAGGCTGTAGTGTTCAGAAAAGTGTTGCAATTTTCCTGCCTTCATCATGTTTGCATTTATGGATACTGTCTCTGCCCTGCCTTCCCCTTTCCCTGTCTAGCCCTCCTCCCATCCGGTAGTGACTATCCTCCCTCTTTTCAGACCCAGCAGATGTGATGGAGATTAGGTAGCCCCTCGATTTCTTAGCAGACACGTGCTGGGCATTATTGTCTGCAAGAATTGCTTCCTCGGAATGCAGAGCTCCTCCAGGATAGTTGGAGGTAACTGCAGCAAGCAGGTGCACAGTCACCAGGTTGTTGTCATTGTTGCTCTGGTGCTATCCCGTTGCATTCAGCTAGGGATTCGTTGTCATACCTGGAGGAGGGAGACAAAGTGAAGGCTTGCTTTCATCTGCACTGCAAAATGACAATGGGCAGGTTGACAGTCATTTCATGTGAGAGCTTCAGTTCCATCGTTGGATTAGATGTGAGTGTCCAGTGGTGCTGGAAGTACTGCCTGTTTTTATATGGGAAAAGTGAAAAAGCTTTGCTAAGTCTCACTGAAATCAGTGGAGTTACGGTGACGACCAAGGGAGGATGTGGCCTGATGCATTAGAAAATAGTTTGTATCTAGTCCTAGTCTGATGCATCTTAAACATCCACTTTCCAATGAGACTTTGACAGCCATTTGTTAGGTTTTCACACATTGTGGTCAGCCTCATGAAGTGGAATGGCTGAGTGGATTAAACGTGGACTTCCACTGCCTAGTTTTCCATCTGCAGCCGAGGTTTGGGTTACAGGCAGTGCAGAAGCAAGCTGCTTCTAGATGCACTTGCTTCCATCGCTGCTGAAGTAAATTCTGTAAGAATATAAGTTGCTTGCTTCTGTCTGCCCGTTTGAAATCCAGCCCCTTTTCTGTGCAATACTTGATCTGCTTCAGTGAGAGAACACCTGAAGTGGGATGAACTCTTCAAAACTCACATGCATGGAGTTACAAAGAGTCTTCGGGTGTCCCCCGTGTGAGCAAAGACGTGCCCATTGCTTACAGTCAGCTGCAGTGCAGTGACACCTTGTTTTCCTTTCTTTTTCCTTTCCTCTGAGGTTTCCTGCAGGCGAGGGCAGTGGACTAGCAGCAGCCAAAGCGCTGGCTGTGGGTAATGGTTTTGCACACTGCAAAGTGGTTTGAATAAGCAGTAGTTCTTCTCTGAGTACATATATTGTGGTGAGAGTCCCAAAGGCTGGGCTTCACTTCCCTCTTTTACTGGGTGCTGTATTAGAAGGCTTTTAGATGTAAAGGGATGGCAGACAAGCTCAAAATAGTGATTTGGCAGATCTGCTCGCACTCATCTTTGGGGCCAGTGCTTTCTACAGAAATTAAAAGCCAGACAAACAACCCCATCCTAATTTATAGAGAGGAAGATTTCCCTTCAGGGCAGTAGACCTACGATTGCCCACCTCTAGGGACAGTTTATCATAACTTACTCCTTAAAACCAATAGCAAAGCCAGGTTGGATGGGGCTTGGAGCAGGCTGCTCTAGTGGAAAGTGTCCCTGCCTGTGGCAGGGGGTTGGAACTGGGTGATCATTGGGTTCCCTTCCAACCCAAAGCATTCTGATTCGATGAAAACCCTTTAAAATCATTTGTATTTGTGTATGCTGTGCTTCTAGCATCTCCAGATGGGGATCTTTGTTAAACCAAAGGGTTGCAGGAAAGAATGAGGGTGTTGGAGTAAAAAGTGGCATGTATCTTCCTGGGCCTCCTGTTGAAATCTGGCTCCATATTTGTCCAGCAGCGTGCATGCCTGCGTCTCCTCTTCTGTGAAATCTATCTGCAGGAGCTCAGCTACCTTCAGCAAGGTCAAATCTAAGTACTTTGGTTCATTA